GGGCGGCGGCGGCGCGCTGATGTCAGCGCGCCCCTTAAGGTGGACCGGGCTGCTGGGGGCCGTGTCGGGGGCGGGCCGAGGGCGGAGCGCCCGACCAGCCGACCCCTCCTGCGGGCTAGCCCGCGGCTCCACGCACGCGCCCAGCGACCTTCAGGACCCTCGCCGGGGCGGGGCTTCTCCCCTCCTGGGGAGCAGCGGCTGGCTGCTTTGAGGCCCAACTCCCGATGCATCCGGCAGGCGAGTGAGAAGCCTGGTTTTCCTGCTCTCAGCAGTGGGCTTTGGCGCGGAACTCTTCCTAGGTCGGTGTGCTCTTTCCCCTAAGCCCATGGGATGGGTCCCTGGGCAGGCTGAAGGCCATACCTCATGCTGCCCATCTAAACCCCTTGGCAGCTAGCCACGAGGATGTAGGGAATGTTGCTGTGACAAGGTTATCAACTACCTACCTCGCAGCCCTCGGGCCACTTGGACTTGGGCCACCAAGTCCCTCTGTGTCCTAGCCCAGGCTGCAGACTTAAAGGGCATGTGTAGTTAAGACTAAGCAGTGCCTTTGGAAGGCCGGTGCATCTGGAGAAATGCCAGTTGAGGCCCGAGTAGCCGGAGTAGCCGAGCCCTGCCTCCCCTCCCGCAGGAAATCCCACCGGCCTGCGCTAGGGCGCTGCTGCTTAAGGTAGAACGGTCCCCTGGCACCCGAGGATACTGGACTTGCAGGATGGAAAGCTGGGCACCTGCCCTGGCTTCCCCTGGCATATCAGCCTCAGAGTGTTGACAGTAAGAAAGCTGTCAAGCTCCACGGTCTGTCCTGGCACTCCAACGTCAGAACCTTATGCTCTGAAACCTATACCTACCTGGGCAGGGTACTGTTTCCTTCCAGAAGGCCATCTTGGTCTCCCACCTACATAAGCCTTCAAGCCAGACCCATGAGAACCCTCCCCAGATGTGGATACTAGGGGCCCTCTTTCTCTGCCCCCTGTTATCTGCTTCTGTACAGCCAGAACCCAGTGCCCAGCAGCCACCTCCTCTCTGAAACACTGCCATAGGCCTGGGGTTCCTTGGCCTAGAGGCCTATCTTTGCCTCATGAAGCATCCAGCCACCTCCTGGAGCCCTTAATGTAGAAAAAGCCTTCCAATGACAGAAACATTTGATAGGTTTTCTCCCAAACTTCTGTTCTGTTGGTCATCCCATGCCAGAAGACCCAGCACAGGGTCACAGGGTTCTCCCAGCATTGATGAAGATATGAGGCCATGAAGAGCACAATGGTGAGCAGAGTGGAACCCCCTTCCTTCAGCCTTCAGATGGCTTCCAGCTGGCCCTCTCCACTAGGAACACATTTCAACTAAATGCACCCCACTTGTGACTTTGGTCTTGTCCTTCTGCAGCCCAGAGCACAGAAAGTGCAGAACCTCCCATCAGGAATGGTCCTCCCAGGAGGCTTGACTCCCAGTATACACACTGAAGAATTTCGCTGGGTCTAGGGACACACTCATGCTCTATCAAAGCCACCCTTCGCCACAACCAAACACTGGTCATGGAAGAGACTGCTTGCTTAGTTGGTGAGATCTTTTTGATTAATTCGGAGTCCCAGGCAGATAGGGGACCTGGGTGAGGCAGACCCAGCTGCTGAAGCCGGAGCCAGTGATGTCATGGTACTTTTCTTCTTGAGCAGGGCTGGCAAGGCAGCAGTGAACCTGGGGCACTGTGAGGCCAAGGTAGATCGCTGCCAGAGTGGCCAGGGAGGCAGCAGAAGCCACAGTCCAGGACAAGGAAAAAGGAGCCCAGTGTGGTGGCGCATACCTTTAATCCCATCAGAGGTTGAAAGCCTCTGCGGTCAACTCAGTGGCAGGACCTGGGATGGAGGTATACAGTACTCCCCAAGCGGCACTCTGACTTTCCATGCTGTTTCCCACAGTTCAAAATTATTAAATGGAAAATTCCAGAAATAAGTCAGGTTTTAAATTGTATACTGTTAGGTGTGGTGATTCGATGTAACCCTGGCCTTCGGAGGCTGAGGCAGGAGGAATGCTAAAGTTCAAGGCCAGTATGTACTATATAGTGAATGTGCTGGGCATGGTGGCACACACCTCTAATCCCAGCACTTGGGAGGCAGAGGGAGGTGGATCTCTGGGACATCCAGCCTGGTCTACATAGGGGGTTCTAGGCTAGTTGGGGCTACAGGGAGACCCTGTCTCAAAAAAGACCCCTTCAGACCCCAAAAAGGTGAATTCAAGGCCAGTCTCAAAAAACAAGACTGGGATGTTGCTCAGTTGGTACTTCCTGAGCACTCACAAAGCCTCACAAAGGAGGATCAGAAATTCAAGGTCATTCTCAGCTACACCATCAGTTCCAGGTCAGCCTAGCTACAAGAGACTGTCTCAAACCAGTCAACCAACCAAAGAAAACATGCAACTCTGATATGCCAGGGAAGTTCTAAAGCTAAATAGGAAAGAAAAACAACCTCTGAAAGTTACTAAGCTCCAGTTTTATTTTACTACAGTGACTGCTTTATTATTATGAATCTCCCACTATGCCTAATATTAACTAAATTTGCTACAGGCATGTGTGGACAGGAAATATATTCATACAGGACTTGGTACTCCCCAAGGTTTTCTGGGGAGTCTTAGGATATTGTCTCCTATGGGAAAAAGGGTGCTACAGTACACCAATGCATTTCTTACACATCCCAACCTGTTAGCATCTTGTTCTGTTTACCACTGCCTCAGCAACATGCCAGGCTGGGTAGCTTCAATAAGCTGTTGCTATCCTCCAAACTGTCACGAGCAGGGCACTCTCGGATGTGGAGCCCTTCACATCTTCAACTGTGCTATCTGCAGTGCCAACAAACCACTTCCTTGAATGAGCATCAGAATGCAACATGACCACAAGATGGCAGTGTTCCTCCAGTCAGTCTCAAAGCCAGGCCTTTCTGCACTCATTGATGTTCTGGCTCTGACTCCACACCTATGCTTGTGCAGGGGTCCTCCACTGCCAGAAACCCATGGAGAGAAATGCAGACCAATCATGGCAAGAATCTTGGTGAGATCCTAACACAGAACTCCCCCTGGGAACCTTTCTCCCATCCTAGGACAAGTTTGCCTACTTTATTGCAACTCAAGGCAAAGGTTGAATGCTTGCACTGTGCTGAAAAGTGTATCTGAATGTCACAGCCAGGGCTTCCCTGGAGGAAAATCAAGTCCATGGGCATAGTCCTATGAAGCAGTGAAGGCTACCACAGTGGCCTTCCAGTTATCACGACCCACCACATGCACAAATCACTTCCTGAAAAGAGCCTTCTTGAAGAGTCTTCTGTTAGCTTTTACAGTAAGCGGCTGGGGAACAAGGTACTTTTTTGGGGGGTGAGGGGGGGATCACGAGCAAAGTACAATGATATGCATGTATGAAAATGTCACAATGAAAGCTGTTATTTTGTATGCTAATTTTAGGTACATTTGTAAGCACACACTGCAAAAGGGATGAAGGAGTAGTGTTTAAATAGGGACATGAAGTCAGCAGATAGAATGGGGCACACAATGAAGTCAGAACAGGTCAGGCTGACAGGAGACAGACACAGGTAGAGAGCAAACAGCAACAGGCAAATAGCCATACTGTAAAGCACCTCTGGTAGGTGCTAATGGCAGTTGGCCACAGGGCATAAGATCAGTCCCCTGTCACTATGGGATTAGGCTCTTGATGACCCCATGAAAAACAGGGTCGGTGCAGCAACTCAAGAGGCCCATCTCAACCTGTAACATGTTAAGATCAAGACTTTAAAAAGCTTCTTATATATGGGTATTTCTTGTATATAGGTATCTCTTGTATATACAGCCCTAAGGACCATACCCAAGTAGCATCCTGGAACTTTATTTTTTTTTTTTGTTTCACCATATAGCCCAGGCTAGCCTCAAACTTGTGATATTCCTGCCTCAGTGTTGGGAATAGAGGCATGCTCCACATCTAGTGATTTTTACTTAGGTATTGCAGATGTCCCATAATCACAACAGTGCCAAGTTCAGACTTCAAGCCTAGAAGTTCAGACTCCAAAGCCTTGGAATGCTGAGGATGTGCTATGGTTATCTGATGGTTTTCCAAAGGAGGGCTATGCCAAGGCCACACTGTTGGCATGGCACCAGAACAGATGAGCACCTTCAGGGTGGCCTTTTCTTCCATTGGGCTGCTCTATTCCAGGGCCAATCAAATCAGTTTTTCCCAGAGGACCTGTTTAGCATCTCCCTCCACCAAAAGTGGAAGGTATTCTAGTGATCTTCCGGGCCCTCAAACACAAACAGCCAACCTTCACAACACATAACAGTAGCCATTCAAACCTCCCTCAAGGAAACAGAGCACATCCTATCAGTAGCCTAAGCCCACTAGATCCTTCAGCTGGCATCCCACATACCTAGTGGCTTCCAGCACTGGCCTGGACAGACCATGCCACAGTATTCCAATTGTTCCCTAAGACCTGAAGCAAAACTCAACACTGTGACAATGTGAGTCTCCCAAGAAACCAGACTGTGCTGACAAGAGCTGCAGTCAACCTTGCACAGATCTGGACACGTGCACCCAGGCACACAGGTGGTCAAGGAAGGCTCGCAACACAGCACTACATATATAGCCTTGCCAGCTGGTCCAGGTTTCAAAGGCATTTTATTCACTATTTTTGATGACTATAAATAAGTGTTTCCACTATGGAAAAGAAAGTTAGCACAGTACATTTTCATGACTGGGGAATGGATTTTCTGAAGTCATCTTCGATAGGGTAAAAACTTGGGGGAACCACCTGAAGATTGGATTTGTTATATAAAGTCCCTTGTAAAAACAAAATAATAAAAACAAACCAAAAGAGGCAGGGCAAAATTAAAAAAAGAGAAGAAAAAGAAAGGAAAAGGACAGAAAATGATTCACTGCTTCTCCTCAGATTTCTCTTCAGCCTCATCTCTGGCCTCCTTCACAGAAAGGGCTTCCAGCTTTTCAGCTACCTTTTCAGCATTATCATTTTTGCCTGGTCCTGCAAAAATGGGCAAACAGAAATCTGGCTGTGAGACCACTCACTGCTCTAGACCTTTACCCAAGACAGGATCTACCTGTTCCCCAAACTCTCCCCAGATGGGCCCAAGAGGCCCCAGAGAACTGCTGGTGGCACCCACTCAACTGCTCAGTAATATGGTCACTTGCTACCACAGGTTCACATCTGCCCCAGAAGAACAGGAAACCAAATCTTCTGAAGAAAGTGAGGAACATCTTAAAGGCTTTTTTGCTTCTGGTGGATTTCAGAAAGCTGTGACTCAATTCTGTACCTGAACCTGAATGCAAATACTGTGAAGCCTACATGAGGTCAGGGCCTTCAAGGAAACATGCTGTGTCCCAAGGCAGCTGCATTGCCCAACAGGTCAGAGCGGTCACAGCACCCTGGAATATTTCTTTGGCAGACAGAAAAAGCACCTGTCTGGGGTTGCAGCCAGGTGCAGAGTGAGTCTGCAAGGAAGACCCCCGCCACCCCCCAGGGCACCATGTCACCTTTCTTTTCTCTCTCTTCAATTTCTTTCCTGCATTCTTCAAACTTTGTTTTGAACTTTTGTGCATCTGTAGAAAGAGAAGAGACTTTTTGAGAGCCTTCAGAGTAGAGTGGATACTTCTTAAAGTTCTGATGAGCCACCTCATGGTCCCTGTATCAATTTCTAACCTAAAAACTGCTGGGCCACCTGACACCTGCAATGACTGGTTACTGAGTGGCTGTGCTCAGCTGCCTCTATTAACAATTTAGACAACCAAGGACCAGGGGCCTTCTCATCACAGGCTAAGAGGCTGCCAGACATACACGGCCATATTCCTAGACCAAGGGTAGGATTTATTTTCATTACAGCATCAGCCACTGTGGTGTTGGCCATGGGTCCCACTAACTGTCCATGACCCACAGGGCATAACTTTGTGACAATTCAGACTAGAATGATGCACCCCTAGGGGAAGAGATCAGCCAGGGCTTGTGGATCTCTGCAGTCTTGGCTGGTTACAGGTACTTAAGCAACCATAGGGGACATCAGCAAGTGGCCCAGTCTTGAGGAACTAGAAACCAAGCAGAGCTGGAGAAATAAATTCTAGGATATGACTCTGATTCCACACACCTGATGGGGTTAACCGGATGCAACAACTGTTTATACAAATATCTAGGATTTCAGAGAAAGCACTGCAGTCCTAGGCAACAGGCTCCACTGCATATTTCCTGGTCAATGTCAATTCCCCTGCCAACCGTCAGCTACTCAGCATGCAACCCAGTTCTCCTTACTCTCAGCATTTAGGAAGCGGATGGCAAGCAGCTCAGGCTTGGGGCACTCATCTGCAAAGTCAGCGTGGGTATTCCAGACCCAGGCACGGTCGCTGCCAGCGTTCGGTTTCAGTTCCATCATTGGTGTAACTAAGAGAGAGAAGTCTGTGACGACAGCAGGACCCCAGGCCAGCCAGGCCAGCACTCAGCCAGAGTATCCTGCTCCCTAACCCGAAGAACCCACTTTAGCCAACAAGGTGTCTAGATCTGAGAACCAGACCTTCATGAAGTCCTACGCTCTGATCCAAACCACATTTGCTTAAAAACAGGCAATCCTTAAGTGTGAACAAGGCAGCCTGTTCCCGGACCAAATGAAGTTATCAGTTCAGGACCCTGAAGCACAGATCTCTGCTTCTAGATAAGCAGAGGTCAAGCAGGCTCCGGATGTTTAAAGAGTAGTCCCGGGGACTGAGAGATGGCTCAGTGGTTAAGAACACTGGTGGTTCTTGCAGAAGACCTGGATTTGAATCCCATACCCACATGGCAGCTAACAATTGTCCGTAACTCCAGTCCCAGGGGATCTGACAGCCTCTTCTGACCTCCTTGGGCATTGCACGACATTAGTGCACTTACCTACATGCAGGCAATACACGCATACACATAAAATAAAAAAATTAAAAAAAAAAAAAGAGTAGCCCCTCAGGGCCAGCCCTTCCTGAGGATGTCCAGCTTATGGCTACACCCACAATAGCCATAGCAGCAGGAACCTGGCTGACTGAAAGGTGGGAACACAGAGGGGAGAAGTCTATTAAGTAAGGACTGGCATGGTGGTACACACCCTTAATCCCAGCACTTGCACTCAGGAGGCAGACAGGCAGATCTAAGTTCCAGGTCTGCTGGGACTACAGGGAGACCCTGATTTCAGTGTGTATGTTCAGGTCAGTGCAACCACTCTCAGCCCTCTACAGTCTGAGTAAATATCTGAGGGATAAGGACACAAGCAGTGGACACCAGAATCCTATGACAGATGCTTGTATGTCATGGAAAACAAGCCACGGCCCATAATAAACATGCCTATCTCAAATTCCTCAGGTCCCACAAAACCAAGGGGAGCTGAAAAGGTCCCAGCACCGGACAAGGCAACTGAAACATTGGAAGCCTGCTCATCTGAAGTGTCCCTTGTGTGTTTATACCTGCTCGGCCACTGGTCCCTGCACCCATGACAGAGGTTATCATGGACTCCAAGTGGTTCCATGAACCATCGTGCTTACTCGTATACGTAACAGCCAGAGAGCTCAAATACCTGACCCACTACAGCCTAACACAGAGGTCTCAGAACCTCTTATACACCACCCAAAGCTATACCTTCCCTATATCTCACTTGATGCCCAACCTTGACCCTCAAAGCTCTAAGGGTCCATGATGTGTACCAATCACTGCTGGCCAGAGCTCCACCCAGGGCCAAGAGAACTGGGCTTGAAGGGAGGCTGAGGTCTAGACCAGAGGCAACTGTGGTGTTAGGAGTCGTTCTCATTTCCCTGCCTCGGCCTCTGCAAACCTGTTATTCCCTATCAACCCCTGCTCTAACCTATAGTCAGCTATGTACCCAGGACAAAAGATCCTGCCCTATCAGACGCAGATTATGCTTAGAAAGTAGATTCAAGGTTGGCAAGATGGTCCAGTAAAAGTACTTGTCAACAAGTCTGGAGAACTGAGTTCAACCCCCCAGAACCCACACAATGCAAGGAGAGAATCAACTTTTAAAAAAGCTGTCCTTTGATTTCCACACCCATGCTGCGGCACATGTGTGTGCACACAAATGAAAAAGAAAAAGATGTGCAAATTTAGGCCAGCAAGATGCTTCAATGAGTAAAGACACTTACTATACAAGCCTAGAGATTCAACCCTAGAATCTCTGAGGTAGAGAATCACTTCCACAAAGTTGTACTCTGAGAAATGAAGATTCTACACTAGTAGATATAATAGCACTCACCAAGAGCAGCCCTAGCTGGATTTACAACCCCATGGGCAAAGGGGGTAGAAGTGATCTGTTGAGACTACTTCCCAGGCCAGGCACCATGTCCTTTCCTAGACCCACAGGGCCAAGAGCCCTCACCCTTCACTTTCTCCTCAGTCCTGTTCCCCCTCCTCCTGTGTCTTCCCCGCAAAGTACATCTTACATCTTGGAGTAGAACAATCTAGAAAGTAAAAGGCAGCTGCTCAGGCACCAAGCAGACCCCTTATGCCTCTAGACACTCTCCAACATGTCCAGACACCACATGCATTAATTAACCCTCTACATCATGTCCAGGACATCACCCCTCCCCACCACTGCCACATACACATACAGCCTGTGGGTCCCAAGCCTAGCATCCATCTCATAAGGGCCTATCTTGTTGGAGCCCACAGCTATGCTCTGTGTCACTGCAAATCTGTTCATTAGTTCAGAGGCATGCTTGAAAGATACTCTCATTTTAAATTCAATAACATCACAAACACACACCCCAGGTAATAGCTCCTAAGAGCTCTAGGGCTGAGTGTAAACACTACCCTGAAAGGCCACCTACTATAGTGGTTGGCGCATATCTTCAGGGTCTTGTCCCTCCTCATGAGGAGACGGATGGTCCCTTTCTCCTTATGCTTCAGGAGCTTGACATCACCAGTGCCTCGCTCCTTCCATTCTGGGAGGTCGTTCTCTGAAGCAAACCGGAACAGCTTTGCCCGCCTATGAGAAGACAGTAAGGGAGCATTAGATATAGAAGGGGACTCAAATCTGGACTGCTAAAAAAGAACATCTGTTCTGTGCACTCAGCACAATGGCACCGCTAGATACTGTGTGCCCTCTAAATATCCTCTTCTGAAGTCCTTTGGGCTCCAAGAATTACTAAGCAAACTATCTCAAACTACCTCCCAGTGGAGAACAGCCTAACAAATTCTAGGTTGCTTTTACTTCATAGCTGCAAAAATGATGTCCAAGGCAGTAGCATTTCCCCCAGGAGAGATATCCAGTCTCTCAAATAAGGGAACACATGGCCGAAAGTGGGTAAAAAAACCTGGTGTGTATGTATACAGGCATGCATGCTGTGAGTCAGTCACTGTGCACAAGTGTCTTATAGCCACACAAAGATTTAGGCATCTATTCTCCCCACAGGCCCAGTACTGAATCCTATCCAGGATGAACTATTCACAGCCACCAGGCTCCAGGCACCCAGAACCAGTAATGAGTCCAGAAGTCCTGTCCTCAAGTCAGGTGTTATATAGCAATTTCTTCTGAGATAAAACATTCCATCTTGGGGCTTGAGAGATGGCTCAGATATTAGGAGTGCTTTATGTTCTTACAGAGGACCTGAGTTTGGTTCCCAACACACACATGAGACATGTAACTCCAGTTTCAGGGAACTCATGTCTTCTGACCCATCACAGGCACCTGCAACCATGTGGTGCACATAAATTCATTTTTAAAAATCTACTTTAAGGGGCTGGATAGAAGGCTCAGCAGTTAAGAACAATGACTGTCCTTGCAGAAGACCCGGGTTCAAATTCTAGCACCCACATGTCAGCTAACAACTGTCTTAACTCCAGTTCCAGGGGATCCGACAGCCTCTTCTGACTTCCGTGGGCATTGCATGATATGGGCGCACTTACCTACATGCAGGGAACACATGCATACACATAAAAATAAAAAAATATTAAAAAAAAAAATCTACTTTAAGCCAGGTGCGGTCGTGCACTAGGGAGGCAGAGGCAAGTGGATCTCTGTGAGTTCCAAGCCAGCCTGGTCTACATAGCAAGTTCCAGGAAAAAAAAAAGACACAGGATGTTCTTCTACAGGGAGGTAAAACATTCCATCTTGGAGGGAAGCTCCTTAAGCTCAGGAAATAAACAATTCGAAAGCTTCAGGGGGCTAGAGAGATGGCTCAGTGGTTAAAAGCAATGACTGCTCTTGCAGAGGACCCAGGTTTGATTCCCAGCGACTACATGGCAGCCAACAACCATCCAGTTCCAGGGATCTGATACCCTCTTTTGACCTCCATAGGCATTGCACACGGGTGCATTTACACATGCGGGCAATATACTCATACACATTAAAAACAAAAACAAAAAACTCTAGGGAGCATTAGAACCTTCTCTCTTAAGTCTATGTATGTGGTAAGGCTTGCTGAGACATGCTTAGAGCAGGCGAGCTGCCTGAAAGACATTCTCCAACCTGTTGAGTTGCCTGCAGGTTATACAGTGCACTCCAGGTTTCCAGCTTTCATGAACTGTCATCCATGCTGGGGTGGGCTTTGGTGACACAGCTGTCTTTGAGCCAACTCTGCTCCTATGTTACTGCTCATCCATATTCCTGTAAGTAACCCAATAAAACTCAGCAAGTTGGGCTTTGGTGGCATTCTTAATTTCATCTATCATCATTCCCTTCTGGCGTCAGTAGACATCTGGTCCTGTCTCTTCAGGAATAGCGTCACACAACTCCAGGCCAGCATACTTCCTCTGCATTCCAGCTTTGCTTTTTCCCTCTCTACCAAAGACTGATCTCTTTCAAACTCAATTCTGTCAAGGGACACTATGTCTTCACATAATTCCTTAAGAAGTCAAAGGTTCAGAACCATACTGAGGGTCCTGCCCAGGACAGGAGCAGCACCTTCTGCATCATGTAACCCAAGAGGAAACCATCTCCACTATGACTGCAGAACAGAGCTCTGGTCCAACACCCTCTAGGTCCAAAGGTACATTTATGGCTACCCTTGGCCAAGCCTCACTTGCTACCTTAAAACAGGCACCCTTTAATCTGACAATTTAAGCATACTTGGGGTGAGCACATACTCAGGGACAGCAACCCAACTTTGCTAGGATATAACTGAAACTATTGTGCCTAGCAATTCTGAGCATAGGCAACAACAGGTCAGTCTCTGCAGTGATGTGGCATCAGACAGAGCTTGTTCTCAGCACTGCTTCAAAACCACACTTGCCAGTTTGGCCTGATGACACAAGACAGCAAATTCAAGGCTAGCCTGCATAAAAAAAAAAAAAAAGAGGGAGTACATGTAGCTCAATGATATAGCACTTGCCTATTGCCTAACATGTATGATATCCTAGGTTCAATGCCCAATACAGTAAAACAGGACAATAAAGCAAAAAGAACTCCCATGTTTGCCACTGCAGTTCCTCACTGAAGGCACACCAAGTGGCACACACACAGTAATTTTAAAAATATTTTTTATTTTTATGTGTGTCAAGTGTTTTGCCTGCATGTAAGTGCACTGTATGTGTGTAATGCTCAAAGAAGCCAGAAGAAAGCATGTTCCATGTCCCTGGAACCAAAGTTATGGACAAGTAGCTGCCATGTGGGTGCTGGGACCCAAATCCAGGTCCTCTGTAAGAAAAGTCAGTGCTCTTAACTGCAGAACCATCTCTCCATCCCCCAACACAGTAATTTATTGGTATTTTTTGAAAGATACAAGGGCTAGGTATACATAAGCTTTAGGCAGCTGATCTTATCTGCTACCGTTTTAATGTCCTTCAAGTTCATGTGTTAGAAACTTATTTTCCAAATTCACGTTAATAGTATTTGGAATTGGGGCTTCTAGAAAGCAAAGAGGATTAGATGAGGTCATGAAGGTTTGGAGGTGGGGCTCATAATGGCACTAGTAGGTTTTTAAGAGAAAGACTAAATTTAGCAAGCTTGACTGATCTCTGCTACATTAAGATGCAACTTAAGCTCACACTAGATGCTAGTGCCATATTCAGACTCTCCAACCTGTAAAACCATGAATTAAACAAGCCTCTCTTCTTTAAAAAGGTTAAAATTCCCTGCTCATCAAAGGAAAGGAAACCACTGATTCTTGGAGGCAAGGTCCAAGCAAGGCCAGCTAGGGAGATGCACTCATAGAACAGAACAGTGACCCTTCAGAATACTTGCCACAAGGCACCAGGGGCACCAGATAAATGGCTGAATTTTCATGTGAGATTAGTAACCACACAACTCCAGGCCCTTTCTTGAAACAGCCTTGATCAAGTTGGGGTCAAGCCATGAAACTTATAGAAATCATAATGCTCCCAGTCAACCCAGGAGTCTTCTGCCCAGTTCCAGATAGAAATCACAAAATGGTTAATGCCATATGAATGAGCCATCACTGGAACTTGCGCTTGCACACAAGGGACACATGAGACAAGAGTGCCCAGCAGCTGGCTTGCTCTTCCAGAAAGCGAAGAGAAGAGCCTAAGTGGTCCAAGGTGCAACCATCATCCCAGCTGTGGTGACTAGGTGCTGCAAGCTTTGAAAGAAAGAAGGAAAGCACCACAAAGAGAATCATCCTAGGCGTCCTCCTTTTTGACAGGCCTTTTCTCAGTTTCTGTCTCATTCTGGCTCAGTCACCCCATCTAAAGATACTTCAGGGGACACCATCAGTCAACTTACATTTTAAAAAGTTCCTCTTCATCTTCCTCCAGCGTTTTAATTTCTTGTTCAGGAAGAGAAACTATTGGCTCGAACTGGGGGTCATGGTTGGACTCATCTGCATTCTCTGTAGAGGTATCATGGTCCTCATGACTGTCCTGTACAGGGAGAAGGAGAGGCCAATGATGCTGCTGGCTGGTAGCTCCCGCCCATAGCCCAGTTCACCAGTTCCTGCAGTAGGCATCACCAGTCATATATGGCCCCCAGAAAACAAGGACAGGCCTCCTCCTAAACTGGAAATTAAGTCCTTCACCTTTCACATAACCAGGATTGGTATTTATGTCCTGCACCACAAAAAAAAAAAAAAAAAAAAAAAAATCACAGCATAGCACACAGTAAGACACTATGGACACTCCTCCCCAACATCCAAACATCAATCAGTTCCATACACAGATCAGGGCTCTTGGCAAAGTGACTTGGGAGAAACTCCCTTCTTCATCTGTAATATGAAGATAATGATACCTGCCATGTAACGAACATAATGATAAACTCGAGAGGAAAGAGCAAACCTAAGAGTTTTTACCGAGGATTATCCATGTGCTTGTTAGTTTACTAGAAAGATTAACTGCTATCAGACTACTAGTATCTACACGGAATTTACAATTCTATCAGCAATTTTACCTGTTTGGAAATTTAAGCTGAAAGGATGCTAAGAAAAGTAGTAGAAATAAGCCCGTGGATTGTGACCGAACTTGAATTACAAGGGCATACAAGCTCACATTTTAGGTGTAAGTTTTATAAGAACACGTGCTTTGATGACACAGAAGAAACCCCAGACTCACTACCAAACTCAAACAGGAAAAGAAAACAGAAGCTCTTCCAATGGTTTCACAGCACTGCGGCTCCGCGGCGGAAGACGCGAGCAGCCAACAAAGCCGCCCACGCCCTCGGTCCGCGCGTCCAAGATCTGTACCCCACGCTGGCACCAGAGCTTCCGCCACGGAGGGCGGTGGCGGTTCCAGACGTGAGGACCGAATGAATGAAGTACTGCGTGGGCAATGGGAAGGAAGAAGGGATACCCGGTCTAGCAGAAAGACCGCAAGTAGGCCAAATCCAGGGAAACTGGCCACCTGCCCGGCCCCCAGGTGAGCCGGGCTGCCAGTGCGGCGATGGCCGTTCCCCGGCACACCCCAAGGTCACGCGCCGCCCCGCAGCCCCCCGAGACCCGCCTCTTTGCCCACCAGCTCCCACACCCAGATCCCAAAGGCCTCCCGCCCCCCAGGCCCGGGCGCCGCGACAGGCCCAGAGTCCGCAGGCCAGCGAGGGTTGGTGGCCGACGAACGAGCCGCCCACGTGGCCGCCCATAGCGGCCCCAGCCTCTCGGCCCGCCCGCCCAATCCTCAACCCGGCCCGGCCGCACCTTAGCGGCAGCCATGGGGGCGCGGCGACGGCGGCTCGACTGGCTCAGGCGTCGCTGGCTCGGCGGCCTCTAAGCGGCTAGTCACAGCTCCTTTCCTCCGCGTCTGGCGCTGGCGTCTCCCGCCCGGCCGACCGCTCTTCCCTCCGCCCCACGACACGAACCCTGACCCCTGACCCCAGCGGCGGGAAACGCGTTGTGATTCAAAACCAGCGCAGCTTTATTGGCTCAGGAGGCGGACACTCTCATTGTCCAGCCCGCCCCGCGCTTCCCGCCAAAACGCCCGCAGCGCATGCCCAGCCGCGCGTCAGTCAGGGGTGCGCGCTCTCCCGGCGACCCACGCGCGCCCTTCCGTCTCGAAGCCGTGCCCGCCTCTGACGCGAGCGAGGGCAGCTTGTGGAGAGATGTGGCTGGATCCGGCGCGTGGTGATGACGTCATCGCAAGCCAGGCCCGTAGAGGAGCAAGGCCCTTCTAGCTCAGCGTGTGGTCTGCTCGTGCCTTTGGCGAGCTGCGGTGCAGCCTCAGACCCAAGACAGGATTCTGACCTCCCAAGATTTAAGTCTCTCCTGCGTAAGACGAAGAAGGGAGAGCCTCTTGGCGTTGCGCCTACTCTGAGGAATTCTGAGTGGCCGCGACTCCGGGCCTCACATAGCCCAGGCGATGAGTGAGAAGATGGACACGGAAGTAAAGCAAAGGGAGACGTCCTGCTGAGATGTGGATGGGTGGGCAGAGATGTGGTTCGTTGGGTCGGAATCATTCCCGTTGGATCCGAGATGGGATTGGGGGGGTAAAGAATAGCCTCCAGAGTAGAAAGCGGGTTTGGGCGGGGCCGAGTGTAGTGTGCACTGATGGAGGTCTGTTGGGGGTAGGGAGCCTGGGGCTGGAATCCTGCGGTCACAGCCTTCAGCCAGGCCCCTATCTGTACACAGGGCCGGGAGCACATGGAGGACTGCGACTGCGGCCAGGATACCAGTGCAGGGCACTGCTCTGCAACTCCAACATGCCAGGAAGAAGGGCCTGGACCAGCTCCGGGACCTGGAGCCCAAGCTGGGCTCTACAGCTACATCAGAGATGACCTGTTCACCTCGGAAATCTTCAAGCTGGAGTTGCAAAATGTGCCTCGCCATGTCAGCTTCAGTGATGTCCGGCGCTTTTTGGGCCGTTTTGGCCTACAACCCCACAAAACCAAACTCTTTGGACAACCATCATGTGCCTTTGTAACATTCCGAAGCGCTGCTGAGAGAGACAAGGCCCTGCGAGTGTTGCATGGTGCTTTATGGAAAGGCCGCCCACTCAGTGTGTGCCTAGCCCGGCCCAAGGCCGACCCCATGGCTAGGAAGAAGCGACAAGAGGGTGACAGTGTGCCACTTACAACGCAGATTGCCGACGTGGTGACCCCTCTTTGGACAGTGCCCTATGCTGAGCAGCTGGAGCAGAAGCGGCTGGAGTGTGAGCGGGTGCTGCAGAGACTGGCCAAGTGAGTGTGGTACTAGCACCCAGCACAGCGTTGATCTCTGCCCTCTAACTCCTCCACCAGCCCCTGTGCAGGACATACACCACTGGTCTGAGCCATCAACCAGGGAGATGGCCAGTAAGGCCCCTATGATACCAGTGGGATAGTGAGGTCTCAAGGGAATGAACCATCCAATATGGGTGAGGGACAGGGCTGAGTCCAATCATCCATGTGCTTCTTCCTGCAGGAAAATTGGGAGCACCAACCATGCCCTGCTACCCTGGCTGCTTACACAAAGACACAAGCACAACAAGGCCTGTTGCCCACTAGAGGGAGTCAGGCCTTCACCCCAGCAGGTTAGACTGGCGTGGGATGGCCAAGAAACCCTCATTCTGTGTTTTGTTTTGGGGGGTGCGGGGTGCTTGGTTTGCTGTGCGGGGGGTGGGGGGGTGAACCCACAGCCTCACACATTAGGCACATGTTCTACCACTGAGCCACCCTGTCATTCATCCTGTTTTCTAAAGCCTTCCTCTTGTTCTTTGCCATTCTTCCTGCTGTTAGTATTGCCTCACTTCTGGTAGTCGGCTCCCTTGTTTTGCCTGCTACCTCCCTGAGGAATCAGTTACTTGCTGACTCTGTGATGCCCTCGGTGCTGGGCAGTCAGAATAAGGTCTGGCTGCCACTCTACCACCTTCTGTCCTGCAGACTGAGTATCGTAACAAGTGTGAGTTTCTGGTTGGAGTTGGGGTAGATGGAGAGGACAACACTGTTGGCTGCCGTCTTGGCAAGTACAAGGGTGGGACATGTGCTGTGGCAGCCCCCTTTGACACCGTGCACATTCCAGAGGCCACCAAGCAGGTGGTGAAAGCCTTCCAGGAGTTCATTCGGTATGGACCTGACCTGGGACTGGGCGCCTGGGAAGTACCCAGTCCATCTTGGGAGGAGGGAGACCCAGGACAGAGAGCAGGGAAGTTGAGCACCCCGCCCCAGTCCTGGTAGACACTGGGCACGTAGGGACACATGTCACTTTTTCAGGTCCACTCCCTACTCAGCATATGACCCTGAGACATATGAAGGCCACTGGAAGCAGCTGACTGTTCGCATTAGCCGCCGAGGCCAAGCCATGGCCATTGCCTACTTCCACCCTCAGGTCAGGCCTTAAAGACAGCAGCCCTATTGGAGGAGGTGCCTGGTATAAGGTGGTTCTGGCATAGCCTGATGGGGTTTTGGGGTTTTTTTTAATCACCTACAGAAACTGAGCCCTGAGGAAGTGGCAAGCCTGAAAGTCTCCCTGGCACACCATTTCCTGGAAGGGCCAGGCAGGGCCAGTGGGGTGACCTGCCTCTACTTTGTTGAAGAGGGACAGCGGTAAGGGGCCTAGGTGGTGACAGGAGGGGGTCCCTATAGGGGCTGGAGATACTGACAGACCTACAACTTCTACAGAAAGACTCCCAGCCAGGAGGGCCTGCCTCTGGAACATGTAGCTGGTGACAGGTGCATCCAGGAAGACTTGCTGGGGCTGACCTTCCGTATCTCCCCTCATGCATTCTTCCAGGTATCTTAGCCCTAATGGACAGACACAGTGAGGGAGACTTTATGTAACACCAGGGTGTGATGGGGACAGTAGAAAGGGTAGGTGACAAGGAACAAGCCTTACAGAGCTCTCCATTTGGGGACCCCACAGGGCAAGGTCTGGGATAGGAAATGGGTTATTTGCCATTGATTGAACATTTTGGACAACCCATAGATGTGCATGGCCATGGCTTGTTACAGGGAGACTGAAGAATGGACATATTTTGGCAGGGGGCAGGCCTTTTGAGCCACTGTCATGGAAGGATCCTTTGAAAGAAGTTTAGAGACCCTTGGAGATGAACTGGGAAACGGAGGGAAGGGATTCCAAGGTCTCCAGTGTGCGAGTAGGATATACGGTTAGGGGTTGGGGAGGGGCTGTTGAGATGAAATTGGGGGCTGTGTAAGCTTTATTAGTCAATCAGGAGATAAGCTCCTTATCAGTTGGGGGTGTGGTAGGAGGATATCATTTGTATAGATTTGGGTTTTGAAGCCAGGAGACTGGGTGAGGTCACTGGTATGCAGGTGTAGTAGTGGGAAGAGTGGACACTGCTGGGAGATGGACCTGGGGATCCAAACAGTATAGTGTGATGGCCTGCACCTGAATGTACTATGGTCAACCTCCAGGTAAACACACCTGCAGCTGAGGTGCTCTACACAGTTATCCAAGACTGGGCCCAGATAGATGGGGGCAGTACAGTGTTGGATGTATGCTGTGGAACTGGCACCATTGGCCTGGCCTTGGCCCGGGTAAGTCTTCCTGCCCTGAATAAGGCCATCCTCTCCCTACTTTGCCCCCCTGACCTCCAGTCTGAAGGCTGAGGTTGACACTAACCTGTCCCAGATATAGCCCAGTTGTGCTCACTGTGCCTCTTTTCCCAAGGAGCTCCTAGAGTGGGCATTAGGGAGAAGGCATCATCTGCCTTTTTCCATTTCAGAAAGTGAAGAGAGTAGTTGGGATTGAGCTGTGCCAGGAGGCTGTGGAGGATGCCCGGGTGAATGCCCTCACCAATGGTAAGAACCCATGGGTCATGCAGCAGGCAGGTGGGATGGGAGCAGTAGTAACCTCTACTGTATACCTTCACTGTTGGCACCCTGCCCTGTGGCTGAGGCCTTCTGGGGAACAGGGCACTGAAGAGCTCTATGACACCTGTCTCCAGACCTGAACAACGTTGAGTTCCACTGTGGCAGAGCTGAAGATCTGGTCCCAGGCCTGGTGAGCAGACTGGCTTCCCAACAACTGGTAGCTGTTCTAGACCCACCTCGAGCTGGACTACGTGAGTGGCTTCCATGTGGGGAGGTAACACCCCCCTCCGAATCAGCCATGTTGGGTAGTTTATCAGGTGTGCAGTCTCTAGCCTTGGGAAGACTACTAATCTTGGCTGTGCCTTCTCAGATTCCAAGGTGATTCTGGCTATCCGTAGAGCTGAGAACATCAAGCGGATCCTGTATGTTTCTTGCAACCCCCGGGCAGCCATGAGCAACTTTGTGGAGTAAGTGTTGGGGTAAGACCCTGGGGGAAACCAGCATCCATCTACCTTCCACAGGAGGGACTAACATTGGCAACTCTCTTCCCATCACAGCCTCTGCAGGGCCCCATCTAATCGGGTAAAAGGCACCCCATTTCATCCAGTCAAGGCTGTAGCTGTGGACCTGTTCCCACAGACTCCACACTGTGAGATGCTTATCCTGTTCGAGAGGATGGAACACCATAATGGCACTGGGGCCCTGGAGCACCCAGACCTTCAAGCCAAGTCTCCCAGAGATCTCTCTGATTATACTCTACTGGAAACAGAGACCTCCCTCTCATCCTAGGTCCTGAGAGCTGCAGAAGCCAGATCTTCCAGAGCAGGACAAAAGCTGGGGAGCTCCTTACAGCCCTTCTATCATCCCAGGATGATCAGGCAAGCAGTAGCAGGGCACAAGGCCTAGCTACTATCAAGAACGTATTACTCTGGTTCAGAAGGAAGGTGCCTACTTGTATTGGGACAGCCAGACTGTGATGGCTGGAATAAATAATTGCTGAATTAAGAGTGTCTCTGTGATATAAGCCAGAGTTTTGACATGAAGAGGCTCCCCCTTGCCACCTACTAAGATACAAAGGAAGAGGGCAGCAAGGTACCTCAATCCTATCTTAGTTTTTCATCAGTTCTGGTCCCCAAGTCCTCCTGACCTTTTGCCAGGACTAGGCAGTCAAACTATGCCCATCTTGGGGAGGGACTAGTGGGTTACTGCAGAAGACTCCTGGGCCGCTCAAAGAATGCATGGAGAACCCTTGGAGAGGTTTACTATGTAGTTTAAACTCAGGATCTCCCTACCTCAGTTGCCTGAATACTGAAATTACAGGCCTGTGCTACTACTTTGTGTTCTTCATTTTTCCATCTAAAAAAAAAAATATGTGGGGGGCTGGAGAGATGGCTCAGCAGTTAAGAGCATGGACTGTTCTTGCAGAAGACCCAGGTTCAAATCCCAGTACCCACATGGTGGCTAACGACCATCTATAATGCCAGTTCCAGGGGATCCAATGTCCTCTTCTATTCTCCATGGGCACTACACGACACGGATGAACTTGCATACATGCACGCAATACGTGTATACACATAAAATAAAGCAAAAAAAAATTTTTTTAATTATGTGTATGGGCTGGGCGTGGTGGCGCATGCCTTTAATCCCAGCACTTGGGAGGCAGGCAGGTCTCTGTGAGTTCAAGGCCAGCCTGGTCCACATAGTGAGTTCCAGGACAGCTAGGCTACAGGAGACCCTGTCTCAAAAAGAACCCCCCGCCCCCCAGAAAATTGTGTGTATGAATGTACCCATATCATTCCAATATCTGCACAGGTATAGACAGTTGTTAATCGCCATATGGGTGCTGAGAATTAAACCTGGGTCCCCCACAAAAGCAGCCAGTGCTCTTAACCACTGAGCCATCCCTCTAGCCCCCCTTTTAGTTTTTTGAGATGGTCTCAGTATGGTGACTTGGCTGGCCTGGAACTTGCTACGTAAACTAGGCTGGCTTTAAACTTAGAGATCCGCCTGCATCTGTCTCTTGAGTGCTGAGACTAAAAGTGTGCACCACTGCACTCTGTACCCCACTCTGCTTCTTAACAGAATACCAGGGTTCTTGCTTATTGTAAGGCAGAACCAGACCAGTACCAGCCAAAGAGGAAGAACACTAAGACGACCCTTGCTGTGTTGGGTTTACAGAAGGCAACTGAGTCTACCCTAACATAGAGACTCTAGGATAGTTCTGGGCAGTTGAAGATCCATATACTTTCAGATCAGAAGAAAGAAACCAGCCATTCCCTTTTGGACAGTTTTATGAGTGTTCAGACCATCAGGGTTCACTCTATAACCATGGCCAGCACACAGAAGCAGCATTAGTACAAGCTCCTGGCCTTGTAGCATGGCTATATGCACCTAAGACTCATCCACATGTAGGGGACAGGAAAGACACTGAAGACTGCAAGTGTGTAGCAGCACCTGTAGGGCTGCAGAGAGGCTCACCATAAACCATGTGCCCAAAGTTTTAGTTCTCAGTCGTGAACCTGGCTGTTTTAAGGGCAATGGTCAGTCAAATAACTATTCACAGCTATGAATGGGAGGCAAGACAGAAGCCAAGTGTCTATAACAATTTGATTTTAGAGGGTTCTTTTTTAAAGGTTAACATGGAAGCCAACCTCAATTACACAGTGATTAGGGAGGAGGGATACACTGGGAAGCCCAGAGCCACCATTCTGTCTTCCTGACACCACATGCCACCTGTAAGTTATAGTGGGAGACAAACAGGTAACATGAAGGTTCAGCCCAATGCTGAGCTTCTGCTTCTGGTACCCCAAAAGCACAGGGCTAGGCCAACATTTGGCCAAGATTAGGGTTCTGAACACACCTCTACTCAATACCCATCCAACAAGCATGGGTGATAGCCAAAGATCAACTGAGCACTAGGCCTGGCTGCACAGAGCAGCTACCCTTGAAATATAAAAGCCATAATAATGCATCATGTACAAAGCCAGCTCTTGATCAGTGATGGACTGCACCGAAGTCCCTTGTTTCTTATTTAAACAAGTCCACCTGCTAAAATGTATGATTCTAAATCTACCTTCTATTCTCACTGTAGAGGTTTCTTTCCAAATTCTAAAACATCATAAAAGCTTTAAAAATTCATGGGTGGACAGATAGACTTGACTGTGCAAAAATCTTTGTAAAAAAACTGTTGCTAGAGTTTAACGAAGGCGAGGGCTTCAATGTCCAGGGAAGCAGCTGTTAGGGCAATTAAGACTTGATCAAAAAGGTACACTGCAACCCAGCAGCCAGCCAGGCTGACACGCAGGGAGACTGGTGGACATTTTCACTGGCAATGGCTGAAGAATCAGTGCCTTGATGGTTCACCTGTAATCTCCGAAAAGTAGTTCTGGTGCTAAAACTGTGTTTATTTTAAGTTATAGCCTGAAATACTCCTTTCTGCTATAACTTTTTCAGAGGAAAATGGAAAACACAAGGCAGGTGAGAGGACTTCTGGCCAGGTCCCAGTAGTTCCAGGAGAACCGTGAGCACAGGGGCCACCTGGCATCACAGTCTAGCCAAAGCCATAAAACTTGGTTATCTTATCTGTCAACTGAGAATCATTTCATGTCAGTGCATATAGTGTACTAAAATTCATGAAAAATTTGATTAAAAACAGTCCGCAGCAGATACATACAAGCAGGATCTACAGCTGTCTATCAGCTTCCACTTGTGCAGTTGTTTAGAATTGATCCTTAAATATATCCAGTCACATGGAGAGCAGCTTCCAGGGAAAACTGCTGTTTTGCATGTGTGCTGTGTAACCACAGCTATCCCCATGTGCCAGAGCCAGGATGCAGATACTGCCACAGGGAAAGAACTTAGGTTGGAGGCCCGGTGCTGCAGAGTGACGGAGTGTGGCTGATGGTCTCCTGGGTTAGCACTGTTGATAATCAGTCCATGCCACTGCCTACCTCATACATCCACTGTGCACAGAGGCTCACCACCTGGCTGAGCAGATGCTACAATTGACATCTTGGGCTTCTTCCGAGTCTCCTCCTGGAAGAATAGAGATCAGTGATGCTAGAGAGATGGACCCAGAAAGATGCTCAGGAAGGTGGCAGGGTAGAGCCCCTGGATTCAGAGTACAACTGCTTGCAATATCTGGCTAAAAGAAAGACAGGCAGAGGGAGCAGAGCAGGCCAGATCAGACTAGCCAAGTATTAAAATGTCAGGGCAGATTCCCATGTGCTACAACTTCCCTGGTAATATAGAGACACATCCTGAATGGGAAAATTTGCAAAAAGCCAGAATCTACCCCACCAGGGTGTCATCCTAGCCTTTGCTTGCCCCAGAGCCAAGGAAACACTTACCCCTAAGTAGAGCTACTGAATTGTGGGCCTACTGCCTAGGACTCCCACAGTTTATCTCCCAACAAGGGTCACGCTGTCCTACGTTCCAGCAGACAAGGCCCACTCCCACCTGAGAGCAAGACTATGTCTTGCAATGAGAAGCCACTGACAATAGACACTTGGTCCTTGGGGTTTGTGTACATGCCTGGGCCAATGCCAGAACTAGAAAAGCTGCTAACTCAATAAGCCTAGGAAGAGATATAGTGTAGCTCTAAGTTGGTATGTGCCTGAGGCCAGGAGACCTAATGTCACACTTGGGGGTAGGGTATTCATGGCTGCTTTCAGAAGCATCAAAACCCAAATTCTACCCAGGTTTAATTGTTCTGCAACCTTTGAGTTTTCAGGGTATAAGGCCATTATTCCATCCTTGTACTCAAGTATTCCAAATTGAGACCTGTAGTCATCCCAGAGGCAAGTCCTTCAGCCACCAGCAGGGTGGCCTGCCCGCTCTTTAACTTGACCAGAATTAAGGCCATTTTACAAAACCACCATCCAAGCTGGAATTTAAAGAAAAGCCAATCTCATCTGAAGGGAGGGTTAGACGTCACCAGGGTCAGGGATCAGAAACTGGTTCCTGGGGGTCTAGGGTCTCTACAGCTGCCACAGAGAGGGCACTAATTTAGTAGTCCTAATGACTCAGTGAACTGCAAGCATGAGCAAAGATGGTAGAGGGGACTGCCACCGAAGGTGAGTTTTGGGGGAGGGGGAGGGTGTGGATGACATGGGGGAGTGGTGAGAGATAATCACCCGCTCTGCAGCCAGCCTCTTCATCTCCTCTTGCAGCTTGCTCAGGATGTGAAGGTTCGGCCTGTTCTTCTTGGCATACTGCTGCAGCTCTATCACACTCTTGTCAGAGGTTTCCTAGGGACCCAAAACCTACTCTCAGGACTGCTAAGTGGCAATGGTTTCTGCACACATTCTTGTGCCTATAAAGCAGGAGTACAAGGAGCTAGTGGGCACAAGAATGCACATCAATGGTCTGCCTGTGATGGGGTATTGGCTACTGACAACAAAGAGCACAGCCTTTGGTTCCCTGGCTTCTCCCAGATACTTCTGTTCCTTCCTCCATGATCACACCTGCCAAGCACTCGCTGTGCTAGGAGCCTTCAGAACAGTGACAAGGGCATGGCTATGGCCAGATGGGACATGACACAGCTAGACTACACACCCAGTATGTCCAGTAGCTCCCTTCGGTCCCTTCTTGTCTTGGAGGCCATGGCCAAAGATGCTTACAGTGTCTTGGCATGCCAGAGCTCCTGCTGCAAGGCATTTATTTGTTCCAGGCTAGGGCCATTCACCCTCTACTTGAAGGACATTCCGACCCATGGCTGAAGCAGTGCTCACATTCCCTCCCTCAGCCTCAGCCCAGCAAAGGCAGAAGCACATGGTGCCTACATTTCAACTCATACCAAATGCTTCTATTGGGGCTGCAGATGAAGCTTAGCCTGCATGAAGCCCTGGGTTCCATCCCCAGCAGTAGGGAGGGAAAGGAATCAGGGGAGGGAAAAAGAGACATACTGTTTACTTCCTTGCCAGCCCAGAGCGAGAATGGAGCCAGGCCTCGCTCCATCTCAGGGCACCTGAAGGGGTGCTGCAATGCTCCTGACTACTGGCTCAGCTCATAGCAGGGTGGCTCAAGGGTCCACAGCATAGTATTCAGGGTCACCTGTACCCCATCACATTAGTACTCCTCTAAATGACTGAGATGCTGATGACCCAGATGGTTTCTGCACACATTAGGGAAAAATGTGAAAAATGCTGGGGATATAGCTCTGTGGTAGAGCATTTGCTTAGCATGTATAAAGACCCTGGTTCCATCCCCAGCACTGCAAAAAAAAAAAAAAAGAAAAAGAAAAAAGCCAACACTCACGTCCTAGTACTTCCCTGCACCCATTAGGTTTGGGTATTTAAATTTTGAGATCTGAGCAAAAACCACAGAAACAAAACAGGTGATATGCATATTCTTCATGCCACTGGGAGTCTTCAACTAAGCACAAAGACACACTGCCTCTTGGGAATGCCAAGAGTCTGGCTCCCAAGCCTTCACACACTTAAGAACCCATAATGTTCATACCTGCATCTTCTGCCTGGCCTATGGCAAGCCTGGTGCTCTAACCATCTCCCATAAGACACAGAGGTGGGTTGGTCCTATCCCTAACAGTTTACACTTCACTGACTGCTCAGCAGGTGTGAAAGGAAGCTGTGGCTTGGATGCTCCTACCCTCTGCCTGCCCACTCACTGACACAGCACAGCCTATTAATAGCCATGATCAAAAGCCATGCTGCCAAGCCTGACCTTGACAGCAAGACCCCAGATATGAGCTCCAGAGCAAGAAGCATGGAACCAGCACAGATGCCTTAAGAGCTGACACCATCTGGTTACCTGCTTGACCATTTTGCTGCTCTCACGGCCATACATGCGCAGTAAGGACCCCCAGTTCTTGACATGTGGATGCAGCAGCTGAAGGATTTTCTGAGAGGCTAATTGTTTCCCAACTCTTTTATTCTTACCTGTGAAGGGAAAGAACAAAGGTGGAGAGAGGGTCACAAATATCTAGACAGGAGAACCTTCCCTTGGCATCCAGGGGGCCCACATAGGGCATTCCACAGAAGGGTAGATAGTGTTTTGCCACTGTGCTGGGTACCATGACTCACAGTCTTCAGACCTGGACTCAGGTACCACCCTGCTGAGCAGCTTTCAGAGGATCCAGGTGAGGGCACATGCCAAGGCCACTAGATAAGACAAAGAAGCTTCCTTCTCTCCACCAGCCTTGATCCCACTCGCCACACAACACATTAAGCACCACCATAGCCTCCTGAAGCCCATGTCTCCTTAAGGGCAGGTGCTTGGGGGGAGGCTCCAGCTGAAGGATGCCCTGTACCAAGAGAGCTGTCCAGGCTGAGGGATGGCAAGGGCCAGGCCAGTTGCACTGCTCAGTAGCTTGGCCAAGCTGCTCATACTCATACAGTCTTCTCAGCAGCCCATCTACATGGGTACTACAGTATGAAGAATAGAATGATAGTCCATAGGCAGCAGGGTACATCCAGGTCTGAATGGAGTTCTGCAATTTCTCAGGATCCTATATGTACCACCTTTTAATTTAAAAGAAACTACTTTGTACTTACACAGTTTTCCTTTACAATTTAGAATTTTTTTTATACAGGGTCTCAGTATGGTACTCAAGCTGGTCTTGAACTCATAGCCTCACATGATCCTCCTGCCCAGTCCCTTGAAGAGCTGGGACTACTGACATTCTCCACCATGCTTGGCTTTTACAAAGTGGCTACAACAGATGTAAAAACAAGCAGAGTACAAGGAGGTGCCCAGTAGGAGGTGCCTCAGTCTGCTGCTCAGGAATCTTGTCCTTCATGCCACTAGAGAGGCAGTGGGAGCAGGAGTGGAACAGGAGGGGATATGGAGAATGCAGGCAGGATGACCACCAGTCTAGCCTCAGATGAATGTGTGGTGACCACTGCACAAAGCTGGGGCTCAAGATGGCTGCCAGGGAGGTTACAGTGGACCAAGCTGTACACCCCAATGTCACAAACTGCTCCCCATGCCCCAGCAGTTCTCTGAAAGCATCCCAGCCTATAAGGGAAGCAGGAGAGGAGATGGGTCCTTACACCACCCTCGCACTGTGTGTTTGCCGCAAGCCATGACATATTCACTCTTCTGGTTTTTCCCAGGAACCACTTCAAACTTGATGGATGTGTCACCCATTCCATGGTTTCTTTTAAGAGAAAACAAAGATGAAGCTAATGTAAGGTGACTTCTGGGAAGGGCTGCTATAGTAAAGTCCATTAAAAGCTCTCTGAAAGCCGGTACAATGACACTCACTTTTAATCCCAGCACTCAGGAGGCAGGCAGATCTTTGTGAGTTTGAGGACAAGTCAAGACTACATAGGCTCTCTGAGGAAAAACCCAATCCTTACCCAATCTTCTCCCCAAATGCTCAGCTGATGAGGAGAGATTCTCCACATACACATTTTAATCACCCAGGGCTCTCTGCCTGCCTGTAAGCCAAAGTGGAGGGGCTCCCATATACCTAGGAAAACTGGCAACAACTCCACCTTGGGACAAACAGCCAGTAAGGTTTTGAGATGCCCCAGAGGCGTTCCCATGACCTGGTTCTTTCTGAAAGACGATGCTGCCCACCCTACCTTTTAAGGCACTCGTGGAGGATCTGATATGGAGACAATAGCCCGGCCTTGCTGGTCAGCTCATAGACTCGTGAATCCTCAATACTGATGTGGTTAAAATACTGCAACACAAAGCAGATGCTCATGAATCCTAAGCAGGCCCACACCTCTCACAGCCAGGTGCTGAATATCTTTTCTGGTTACCTCACCAGCATGTCACATCCCATACAATCCCATTAGCAACCAGCTGTAAAAAATAAGTCTCAGCCTCACTGTCTAGCTGTTGATTGTCACAGCTCACCACGCTCCTCTGAGGAACCCCCAAACCAGCCAGGGACATCTCTTCTCATCCCAATTCTGATCAACCATGGACAATTCATCAGAAATTCACTGACATGCCACCATACAGAGCCTGTAACATCATCATAACTAAGACTGCGGGGAGAAAGAGATGATAAGCTCAGGAATATTAAAAAGCTAAGCTCTCCCAGGCTGAAGCTCCAGATACCAGAGCAGGAAGCCAGGAAGCAGACACTGGCTTTAGTTTCCAACAATGTGGCTGTCCTGACAAAGTCATAGATCAAAGAATTGAAAAGGAACAAGGAGGCTAAAGATAACCATTCAAGGGAAGAAAAGGGAAATTTTGCACAGCTGAGAGAGGCTGGAGCTAGGAGGCAGCCATGAGGTGGCAAGACAAAAGGTGGCAATTCAGGAAAAAGTGGCTGATAGCACCTTCTCCACCTTGGTCTTTCACTGATCCTATACTCAATGAACAGAAGCTGTCCAGACAGTTCAGCCCACTCTATAGGAGACCACCTTTGGGAGGGGCTGCATGAACAGAAGCACTGATAAGGTTATCTGTCATTGATGAACCACATATACAATGGTGGTCCCACAAGATTTTATTACCCGGTGACATCAGAATCATCCTAATTTACACAGGTACTCTATGGGGTTCACATTAATCACGTACACAATACATAACTATACCACAAACTGGATGGTGTTAGGCAGCAAAAGTATATCCTCTCACAATTCTAAAGGCCTGAAGTCAAAATTTATGATTAACAGCAAAGCTTTGCTCCCTGCAGAGACATTAGGGAAGATCCAGCTTCTAATGGCCCAGCTCCTTCGGCTTGTGGAAGAACTAGGCCAATCTTCACGGGGTCTGTCTCTCTTCCCTTCTAGGAAAACCAGTCACAATCATTCAACCACAATATATTATACCTAGTCTCCAAAGGACATTCTGAGGTACTAGAGATTAGCGTTTCAATGGATTCTTTTGAGGGACAAAATATAACAGACCTGGGTTCCCAGGAGATTTAGAGCAAAGAACTTTTTCACAGTTGACAAGCAAATAGGAATGTAATGCTTGAAACAGATATGAAATAATGGGGCCCACCAGGCAGAAAGGATCCACTGGGAGCCAACAGTAGCATAGAGTTCTCCTGCCAGTCAGCCAGAGTGGTCTACAGAGGCCTGGACGAAGAAACAAATGCCTGGGGCCTGCATCACATGAAGAAGCTGAGCCAAGGTCTCTCCAGAATGACATTAGTTCCTGTGCTTTGTTCAGCCTATATGACCCACACTCTAAGCATCAAGACAGAGCGGGCGAGATGGCCAGCCAACCTCCAACCCCAAACTCCTCCCTAGCAGAACCTGGCCAGCATACACACTGAAGAACACACTCAGAAGCAAAACACACCTGTCCCTGGTACAAGACTCTTACCACAAGGCACCACAGCAAGCTGTCACCAGCGTCATGGTGCTCAGGATTAACCTGCCAGGAAAGCACAGCTGTAGTTCTGGAATGCAATCAAATTGCAAAAGTGACCCACAGAATAATCACTGTTGTTTCTGAAAAACAGCTTGGGAGAAACTTAAGTGATAAGTGCCCAGTGGATGACAAAGAAGTGTGAGGAGCTCATGTACAACCCAATACCCATGAACTCCAATCTAGATACCGCGAAGAGCGTCTCAAAAATCCAAAACCTCCTGAACAGTCTGATACCCACATCTACTCAAGACAGCCAAAATGCAGTTATAAACTTTCCCACTAAGGAAACTGCAGGTCCAGATGGCTTCACTGGCAATAATTACTTGACATTTAAGGAAGAAATGATACCAATGACACAAAAACTCAAGAGGAGGACACTTAATAGCTCAGTTTATAATGCCACCAGTACCATGATATTAACACACCAGGAAAAAAGCACAAAACAAGGGGCTGGAGAGATGACTCAGCGGTTAAGAGCACTGACTGCTCTTGCAGAGGACCCAGGTTCGATTCCCAGCACCCACATGGCGGCTACGAACCGTCCTTAACTCCAGTTCCAGGGGAATCTGAAGCCCTCTTTCTGACCTCTGCGGCATTGCACAACATGGGTGTACTCACTTACATGTAGGCAACACACCCATACACATAAAATGATAAATAAAATATTTTTTAAAAATGCACAAAACAAAACCTACACAATAGTAAACCTTGTGGACACAGATGAAAAAAAAAAAAAAAATTAAGAGTATCTGCTAATGCACCAGTCTACAGTCCTAGCATTTGGGAGGTTAAGGCAAGGGGATCATTCCAGGCCAGCCTAAGCTATCTAGCAAGTCCCTGTCCCCCCCCACCAAAAAAAAAACAAACACAAGGCCAATGAGATGCCTCAGTGGGTAAAGGCATTTGCTGTACGAGTCTGACAACCTGAGATTAACCCCTAGAGCACATGATATAAAGCTGAAGAGCTGACTCCACAAACGTATTCTCTGATTTCCACACATGAAACCTGATATATATATATATACTCACACATGCACTGTGGTATGTGCACTCACACATATCACACACAGACACGCACACACATGCACACAAGAAATAAACATTTAAAACACCCACCCTCACATACAGAGTAGGTAAATGGAAACACATGCCTTTAATCCCAGCACTCAGGAGGCAGAGGCAGGAGGATCTCTGTGAGTTCAAGGCCAGCCTAGTCTATACAGCAAGTTCCAGGCCAGCTAGGGCTACATGGAGACCTTGTCTCAAAAAGACCAGAAAGAAAAAGAAAAGAATATATACCATGATCAAGTGGGACTTATCCCAGGAATGCATGCTTTTAAAAGAATTGATATTAACTATATGAATAAATAAGAAGATCAGACAATCAGATCAGGAACAGTACAAAAAGGTTAAAAAAAAAAAAAAAAGCCAGGCATGGTAGCACATGCCTTTAGTCCCAGTAGAGGCAGGCAGATCTCTGTGAGATTGAGGCCAGCCTGGTCTATATAGTGAGTGCCAGGCCAGATGGGGCTACAGAGAGACCCTGTCCCAAAAGGACCAAGAAAAGAAAGAAAAAACAAAACCAAAAACAAAAGGCAAAAATCTTAAGAACAGTCAACAAACCAGGGACACGGATCAAAATCCCATAGACAACACCATACTCAGGGGTAAGAGATGGATGCTGCCCCTTGAGATGGGGAACAAATGTATCTACTAGGTTAGGTTAAGAAATCCAGATTGAGGGCCGGGTATGGTAGCGCATGCCTTTAATCCCAGGTGGACCTCTGTGAGTTCAAAGCCAGCCTGGTCTACATGGTAAATTCTGGGCCAGCTGGGGCTACAGGGAGACAAAAAAAAAGACCAAAAAAAAGCCGGGTGTGGTGACGCACACCTTTAATCCCAGCACTTGGGAGGCAGAGGCAGGCGGATCTCTGTGAGTTCAAGGCCAGCCTGGTCTACATAGTGAGTTCCAGGACAGCTGAGGCTACAGGGAGAGCCTGTCTCAAAGAGACCAAAAAAAAAAAGATGAAATCCAGATTGTCAAGAAAAAGATCATAAAACTCGTATCATAGTCAACATAATCCTATACATAAGTCCAAAAAAAAAAAAAAAACTACAGAAAGGCTATGAGAACTAATAAATGAATTTAGCAAGGTACTATTTGACACAAGGTCAATACACAAACAATAAGTTGTATCCACATGCCAGCAATGAACTGAAACCAAAAGACTGCTCACCACAGTGCCACAATATACAAAAATAAATCAGTAAAATGTGAGCAGGATCTATGTGATTAAAAACTACCAACCCCTGGACTGGAGAGATGGTTCAGTGGTTAAGAGTACTGGCTGCTCTTGCAGAGGACCCAGTACTCAATGCTCAGTATTCACATGGCGGCTAACAATTGCCTGTAACTCCAGTTCCAGGGGATCCAACGCCCTCTTCTGAGTTCCATGGGCACTGCAAGCATGGGTACACTTTACATGCAGGCAAAACACTCATACACATAAAATCAAAATAAATGAATAAATAGAAGTGTTTTTAAAACAAAAACTACAATTGACACACAAAACTAAACAAAACAAAACCACCAAAATAAATAATAAAACACCTAAATGAAGAGAAACAGAAAGCTCAATATTCCAAAATGTCAATTCTCCCAGAATTGTTACAGGAGTCAACCTACTGTTCCTAAAACATATGAGAAACATACTTTGATGGAAAGAAAATGGAGTTAACAGACAAAACTTCTCTGAAAATAACGAATTCACACTATTTGATTTCAAGACTTCTAAGCATCAGGATGATATGGCATCAAGGAAGGGGACACACACATGCTTAAGGGACAGGAGAGAACCCAAAAAGAAATCACCTACCTGGGTACTATATTACTCAGAAAGTGCAAGTGTAATCCAAGTTAAACATTCACCGGCCATCACCTAGCAGCCATCTCAGCTATTACCTTAGTGAAATAGATCCCTGTGATCATACCCCCATAGCCTTACTTATTACCCCAAATGAAATGTGCCATTGGAGAAATATGGTACAACCATCTGATGGCAATTGCTTAGCATCATGCAAGGTTTACAGATCCAGGTACCAACACGAAACAATTATGTCAAGTCACAGAAGCCAGGTACAGAGGTTCCCCGACTTATGTGACAAAAATGACAGGGAATTTGGGAACTAGCTAAACTTCAGGGACTACTACTGCAATGCTTCTTCCTAGACACAGTTTAGTGGTTTAACTGCAAAGGGGCAGCATGAGAAAAAGTATGAGGTGTGATGGAAAACATTCTGTGTTGTGGTTCTGGTCACATGACTGCACACTTGTCAAGTAATAGA